GTCCTGGGTCTTCCTCGGGGCCTCCTCCCGGTGGGACGTGCCCGGAATACCTCACCAGGGAGGCGTCCAGGTAAAGAAGCATCAATAAAGTAATTTTAAAACTGTTTATTGGAAAACTGAAGCGATGCATTCTGGGTACATGACGGATTTGATTTGTGACAGGAAACGAAAGCACAGAGTACAGGAAACTATCTTCACTTCAAAATAAGAGCATGGATTTTAAAGTTTTCCATGTATTTGCTCCAGTTGACCACTAGATGTCTGTCTAAAGCCGTTGGCCGATTGCTTTCACCAATTACGTCAAGTATTGAGCTCCAGTGTTTAAAGCGTATTTTTTTAAAAAAGGAGCTCCGATTGTAAAGTAAAATAAATCAATACAAAATTTTAGCATGGATTACAAATATTAACTGTTTTCGCCCAGTCACATAGTTCTAACCATTGCCTTCCTGCTACGTAAGCAGACACAAAGCATTGTGGGAAATGAGAACCATGACCCAAAGCAACAGTCAGCAGGATGTATACCTTCACAATAAGTGTGTTTATCTGGGAGGGGTGCTGTTGGATAGATCATGTGTTGTGATTCATTGACAGCCATACCTTCTGCTGTTCAAGATAATTATAACTGGTAGATAATTAGTTATTAGCGGTACTGCATTTTAAATTTAGAAAACACAAATCTGCTTAAGAATTATAAAAATTAGTACGACCGCTAAAGCGCAAATGAAATATTTAGGTCCGCAATAAGCGGATTTGCACTTTAGTGGGCTGGTGCCCACCACTGTGAGTCTCTATCAGAGACGAAGAAGAGTCAGATCAAATAATATTGTTTTAATAAACAAAGACCAGAGAGTTTTCTTTGTTAAAAGAGTTCACCTTTGAGGTCACTTCCTGTTTCACTTTAGCTGAGCCTAGTTCAAAAGAAAATATGCCAGTTATGAGACAAAATGGGTTAAAGCGTGCATATTATTCCAACTTTTTTTAAATATAAAACATGTTTTTTTTTRCATTTTGTAATTGAAGAATATGCGTGTCACAGGCACTTTGAAGCTGCTGCCATCGGGTCGTTGTGGTCACCATGGTAATCACACACCTGCGTCTCTCACTCCCTGACTGCTTGGTTAATAAGAGACAGGAGGAGTGAAATGTAAACCTAAAAAAAACAGTCGGCTTGTGGAAACTAAAAGTCAAATCTTAATGTTTCTTGAACCGTGAGCAGCTAATACCCTGAAAGTCTTTATGTCAGAGACACGATGAACTAAAAAGACCTGCACTTTTAACTTTAAAGATAATATTTTTTAATATATCATGACTAAATCAGGGAGAATTTGGGTGTTTATTCTGTATTCTGGTGGTATTTGTGAAAAAACACAAGTCCTCTATCAGTGAGAGACACTGGATCAAAAATAACTAAATATTAATAACCCTGCATGTGAATAATTTGTACTTCTATAAAAATAATTAATATTCAAAAGAAAAAAATAAATGTCTCAAAAGGTTTGACAGCGACATCATCAACATTCTGTGTAAAAATCCCCAAAAACCAATTATTTAGTTTCAGCTGCATGTTTGGAGCGAGTCATGGGTCCGTGGACTCACCCTAACAACAGATCTGTCTCGGTCCTCCATCACGGCCTTCATCTCCTGAGCCGTGATGTCACTTCGTCGCTGCTGCGCCCGCCGCAGGTGCTGGATGAGGAGCGCTCCGAACCGCCGGARGTCCTGGACATCGTCGGCTTCGCAAACGCTCCGAAGCAGCTCGTCTACATCCTGACAATCAGAGGTAACTGGTTAGGAGTCAAAACTAACGTTTGAAACCGGAGTTTATGTTTGAAGATGGTGAGTGTTTTTACCACATCAGTGTCCTGCAGGTCTACAGCCTCCAACCTGACAGGAGAGCAGAGAATCTGTTTGGATCTGAACATTAATCGTGTTGAAGAAATTTACCTCAAACCGTCAGTAAAACCAAGTTAAAGACAGGAACCGTGGAAATATGACTGCACTGCAACGTAGGGATGACTGTCAGCTACTACCACACCAAATGTTAGCTYAATAGCTGAAAAAATGACRGAGTTGTGTCCATTTTTGTGTTGCCTGAGGTGGCGGCCATCTTGGTAAGGGCATCAGTTTCAGACGTATATGTAATGATTACTTTAAGAGTTTCATTAAAATGGTTCATGAGATATTTTGCTAACAGACTCATGTAATTARATGATCACCCACACAAACAGCCTCAACAAACTTCAACATCCTGTAAGTTGGACTGAAAACAGCCCAAGATTAGAAACCTGAAACTCTGAGAAAGCTTCTTGTCTTCATTTCAATTTATTAAAGTAATCACCCTTGGCAGCACAGGGGTTTAGTGGTTAGAACTGATGCCTCACAGCAAGGAGGTTCTGGGTTCAATCCTTAGTTTCTGGTTTGCTCCCACAAACCCAAAGCATCCAGGTTCGGCTGCCTTCAGGCCTCCCAGGTAAAGAGATCTGTCATCGCAGTGGGATTTGTCTGGTTAAATAAAGGTTAATAAAGAAATAAAAGTTTTTGTTTTGGTCCYTTTAGCAAAATACCTCATGAACCACTTGATGGATTGAATCTGTGTGATCATCTATGAGCAGTTAACCTGTTAGATTAGTAGAGACAGACGTGGTTTTATCGCTCCTAATTTCAATAGATATGGAGCTAAAATTTGTTGTGGTAGCTGAAGAGCTGCCCCTGAACTCCTGCCAATAACRACATCAGTCGCTGATAAGTTTGTTAGGTTTACTCTAGCTCTGCGCCGGAGTTCTGCAGAAAATTTGTCCTGCGATCCACGAATCCGTTTTTTAAAATTGCAGTCATTTTGACTGGGCCGTGGAGCTGCGGAAGGCTTCCTCTGAACGGACCGGACCAGTCCGCTGTCGGGGAGTTTCCCCTCCCCGTGACAGGAGTCACGATGGTGGACGTGCAGCCTGTAACTAGCTGATCTCCTGCCTCTCCTCCAGGGAGTCTGCTGCTGTTTTGCTGTAATAAACTGTAATAAGGTGGCCAAGACGACTGGGCTCTGCAGGGAACAGCAGGTAATAAAAGACCGGCCGCTTCCAATAAAGCTCCTCTAACACCCTGCTTACAGCCCGTGCAGGCCGGCTCAGCCCGGCTTTGCTCCGTTCGCTCGACCCCCCTTCATTAACACTCTTACACATTTCCACTAAATTGGTTACGCAGCTAGCTGCCATTAGTGGGACCGCAGCATCTGAGGGACGGTCTTCATTCGGCCTCTTGGAAAAGTTCTGATGTGGAGGCCGGCCGAAAGTTCTCAACGTTAAGATCCGAAACGTCTTAAACATCCGAAACAAGTAGAATCAGTCAGAATATTACAAATGTCTAATGCACTTTCACTTTTAGATGATGTTTAGCTACTTTTATTTTAGCACTTTTAGCTTCTAGCTACAATTCAGCCAATTTTTAGCTTTTAGCCAAATGTTTGGGTTTTTTGTAGCTTTTGGCTAATGTTTGGTTTGTCTAAATTAGCATTTTGCTACTTTAACTTTTAGAAGATGTATTACTAATTTTACCTGTTAGCTTGCATTGGTTATTAGTTACAAATTGGCTATTTTGTTTTGTATTTTAGCCAAATTTTTGCTACTTTTAGCTTTTAGTTAGCGTTAGCATCATATTTCTTTTAGTTTTTAGAAAATGTTCTAGTACTTTTATTTTAGGTTTGCATTTTGTTACTTTTAACAATAAATMTGCTGTTGTTAGCTGATGGCTAGTTTTACATTGTAGCTAGCATTTTATTACATCGAGTTTTTAGAAAACCTTTTGGTACTTTTAACATCAAGTATGCATTTTAATTTTTAGTTTACAGCTAGATTTTTGTTATTTTCAGCTTTTAATTAGTGACTGGCTAATGTTATTATTAAGCTTGTATTTAGCTATGTTTAGTTCATGTTTTGCAATTTTTAGGTTTTGCTTAAACTTTAGGCTATTTTGACTTTTTCTTAGCGTTTTGCTATWTTTAGCTAGAACTGGGCTAGTTGTAGCTTTTATAAAACTTCTGCGCAGTTTTACATTAAGGTTGTATTCTGTTAATTTTAGATATTTTTGCTAACCTTAGCTTTTAGTTAGTRTTACCTTTTTGATTAAATTTAGCAGTGTTTGGTTCTTTTTTTTGCTAATTTTAGCTTAACTTAGCATTTTGTTACTTTTAGTATGCTATCTTTACCTTTTAGCTAGGATTTTGCTGTTTAAAGAAGTAAAAACTATCTATAATTACTTTAATCTAGCATTATGTTAAATTCAATTTTTACCTGGAATTTAGCTATTTTATGTGTTTTGTTTGGATAATTTTGCCAGTTAGTTAGCATTCTGCTACTTGCAGCTAGCATTTTACCCTTTAGCTTTTAGATAATGTTAATAACTCAGTTTCAAATTCTTCCTTAAATGACAGTGGTCATTTAGTGAACAGTATTAGTATTTTTACAGAAAATATAATTTATAAATATTGTAATAACGASGAAGCGGCTAAATGAGCCGTCGCGAAAGCCTTTAACAAAAAGCAAAAAAACACTGACTGCTTCAGCATCACATTATTCATAAACACACATCTAAAACTCAAAGACACACACGTTTACTGGGGTCACCTCCTCCATTAGAAATACACACACGCTCACAGAACACACACAAACACAACAACGAGAGCGAGAGCGCTGGAACACACACACACTCATCAGGGCCGCCTCCGGCATCATAAAAACACACACATGACGGCCGACACACACTAACAACACTGAGTCCTGACAGATGGAACATGCTCCTCCATATTCTGTCCTTATAAAAAGGATTGTGGCCTCCAATATCAATTACCCTCTCATCCTGGAGGGGTACGAGGAGGAATAGGAGGAGGAGGAGGAGGAAGAGGGGTATTATCCCTAATTAGATTTTCTGCTCTATTTGGCTGCTGCTCGAGGAGGACCAGAACTCATTTCACAGCCTTTTAACGAGACCGAGGAGGTGCATAAWMAAGGAGAGCAGAGAGGAGGAGCGGAACWACGGTGGGATGTGATTCTCCTTCACATGGATAAAAAAAAAGTTTCACGAGGAGTAAATTAAACACAAATTACTCCAATCGACCGCCAACTTTCACGCTGAAGTTTCCTGTTAGCGCTCAGCGTGTGTTGGGGARGACTCTCAGCTACCACCACGCCAAATTTTAGCTCAGGATCTGCAACATACGTAGCAATTTGCTAAAGATGTTTAACRATGGCGGCCATCTTGWATCAAACTGACTCCAAAAGTTAATTGTAGATATTTAARCAATCACTACGAGTTGTGCTTTAATTCATCCAGTGACTCGTGAGGTATTTTGCTAACAGGCACACAAAAACAGGCAAAAACACCGTCACCCGCCACTATAAAAAGGCACATGATAATAAATAAAACAAAACCATTCTTTTCATAACAAACTGAAGGAAAACGAYCGATACGGTTCTGCTCACGTCTGTTTGACAGTTTGTTAGCAAAATATCTCAAACCATTGGAGAGGTTAGAACAAAACTCTCTGCAGGTGCACATCTACAACAAATTCAAAATGGCCACCACAGCAAATCAACCTGATCCGACAGAAAAGATTAAAACTCAGAGAAATCTACAGACACGTMYCTGAGGTTTGGTGTGGTAGTGGCTGAGAGTCATCCTCAACACAGACTCCAAGCACTGACATGATGTTGTTTTCTAAGTTTGGTTAAACTCGCTCTAACTGGGCAAAGATCGGCGTCAGGCTGGCTTCAACAGGAAGTCATTAAAACCTGGTCTTAAACCATCTTTGGTGACAGAATCGAGTCGTACTCGGCTGCTTCCTGGAGTCGGCGGGCGCGCAGCACGGCCTCGTCTCGCTCCTCATTGGCCAGCAGGAGTCGTGACATCAGAGCCCGGTCTCGGTCCTTCTGAGCCGCCAGCACCTCCTCCACCGCCGCTGAGGAGAAAAGGAGACGAGGAGTCAGTTTGAGCGCCGGACCAATCGGAGCAGAGATTATTACCACACAGGAAGTGAGCTCCACCAGTAATGACGGCAGCTCAGCTGAGACCAGCGCTGGTGGTTACTGAAACACAGAGCTGATCTGATTCAAGATGGCCGCCACAGACAACTGACCACATTTTTACAGACACTGAGCTAAGAATGGGTGTGGTCATCCACAACGCATACTCCAAGAGCTAAAATCTAGCAGATTTACATTAGATTGATAAGATCGAACAGTGTTTTAGGTTCAATACACACTATGTATGGAACAGTACAGATTTTTAATTTATTTTATCAGCTTGTCTTCTGAAGATGCTCTGTGTTGAAG